TCATCAGACTAAAGTTTCCGACATAACATTAGTGATAATCTATATGAATTACTGACATCGGCGTAATCTTATAGTATTTCCGACATCAATAACCTTATCAGAACAAGCTACAACAAACTTGCTTTTATTGGAAACATTTATTGTGTAAGTCCTTGAATGTCTCAAAGAACTTAAGAATTTTATTGTTGGTTGATCAAATCAACGTCAGGATTTGATATCACATTTTTGGTTAAATTTTTGGTGTCGGCACAATTTATAGTTTGTCCGACATCCGCAAACTCTTTATTAGAACAAGTCGTAAAAGACTTGCTTTTTAATGTAAACACTTATTGCGAGCTCACCAAATCAACGTCGGGATTTGATATTATAGAGCGTAAGCCTCCCCAAACCATCTTCAGGGCTTGGAAGTATCCGGCTTTGCTGCGTTTGGCTAGGTCATACCATCTTCAGGGTATGAAACACGTTTAGCCTTAGCAACGAGGACCGATTTATTGTGGTCCGAGTGATCGAACAAATTACAGGGGTTCGTCACACAAACTTTATTGATAGCAAAACATGGTTCTTGTACAGAAGTAGGACAAAAACTTTTTTTTTTTTTTAACATGTCGGGGACAGGACCTTGGCCACCAGGTTTACTGGTAGTATTTCTTCAAATATGTCGCGTGCCAGGGATATTGGAGGGGAACACCATCTAACGACTCAAGTCGGTAGGTGCCATTAGAAATCAGATTATTTACTTTAAAGGGTCCTTCCCATTTCGGTTGTAACGGGCCGACATTGGCGCCAGTGACTCTTTTCAGCACGAGGTCTCCATTGACAAATGAACGTGGCTTAAGTCTTGAGTTGACATACTTTTCACTACGTCGTTTATAAGCGGCATTTCGAGTCTCAGCATCAGCTCGTAGCTCATCGACCAAATCGAGACTGGCTTCAAAATTTGTCGAGTTGGTTTCTTCAGAGAAATGAGTGATCCGATATGTCGGAGAAGCAAGTTCAACCGGTATCACAGCTTCAGTTCCGTAAGCTAACGAAAACGGAGTTTGTCCAGTTGAATTTCTCGTCGTCGTCCGGTAAGACCAGAGGACATAAGGCAATTCATCAGGCCATGATCCTTTTGCAGCTTCAAGTCGAGTTTTCAGGCCATTCTTGATAATCTTGTTTACGGCTTCTATCTGTCCATTAGCTTGGGAGTGATAAGGTGACGAGAAGAAATGCTTGATGTCGTAATCTTCACAAAAGCTTTCAAATGGTTTGCCTTCAAACTGACGACCGTTGTCGGTTATAATGGAATTGGGGATTCCAAACCGACAAACGATTGATTTCCAAACAAAATCCACCATTTTTTGCTTCGTGATGGTTACAAGGGGCTCGGCTTCAACCCACTTGGTGAAATAATCGGCGGCTAAAATAGCAAACCGAACTCCCCCTTTTGCTGTTGGATGTGGGCCGATCAAATCAACTCCCCATTTTGCAAACGGCCATGGACTATATATCGACTTGAGGAGTTCAGGATGTTGGTTAACGTTAGGAGCAAATATCTGACACTTGTGGCACCGCCGCACCCAATCTGTAGCGTCTTTCCTAAGGGTAGGCCAGTAGTAGCCTTGTCGGAGAATTTTGTGAGACAAAGTTTGAGCTCCCTGGTGGGTACCGCAGACTCCTTCGTGTACTTCTTGCAGGATTCGTTGAGCATCAATCTCTGATAAACATTTAAGCAATGGAGTAGAATATCCACGCTTATATAACGTTCCTTGATCAATGGTGTAATGAGCAGCACGAACACGAAGGGCACGAGCTTCTTTCGGGTCTTCAGGTAAGGCCTCGGTTTGAAGATAATCAATGATCGGATCCATCCATGTAGGATTTGAAGTTAATGGGACTGCGTCAACCATGACGACGTCGGTAGAGACTGTTGACGAGCTCGCCTGTTGGGTGATTTGCACGAACTCAACATTATTCAAGTCGGTTGATGAGGCTAATCGTGAAAGAGCATCTGCCTGAATATTGGATGACCGAGGTATATGCTCCAATGTCATTTTAAGCCGGGTCAGTTTCTTTTTGACAAGATCAAAATAAGGCAACAACCGTGGTTCTTTGACTTCGTAAGTACCATTGATATGGCTGACTAGTAACTGAGAGTCGGAAAATATCCGGAGAGAGGAAACATTCATGGATTCGGCGAAGTGTAAACCTGATAAGAGGGCCTCGTACTCGGCTTCGTTGTTGGTGGCCGGGAAGGTAAATGCCACAGAGTAGAAAACACTTGTTGATCGGGACTAACTAAGACAATCCCTCCTCCAGCTCGTATAGCAGTGGACGATCCGCCAATATAGAGAGCCCATTTCGGAACTTCAATAGGTGCGCTGACAGTAGGAGTAAATTCAGCGATAAAATCAGACAGTACTTGAGCTTTGATTGCGGTTCGTGGTCGGTACTGAATATCAAACTGTCCCAACTCAATCGCCCATTTAATCATTCTTCCCGACGTGTCAGGTCGGTGAAGGACTTGTCGGAGAGGGTATGTCGTAAAAACAACAATTGAATGCTCCAAAAAATATGGGCGCAACTTCCGTGCAGCAATGATTAGAGCATAGGCCAATTTCTCCATATGCGGATATCGCAATTCAGGGTCATGTAAAGCCTTGCTAACATAATACACCGGGAATTGTTGAAGCCCATCTTGTCGTATGAGAACAGCACTAACAGCAACGTCACTTACACCAAGGTATAATTAGAGAAGTTCATCAGGAATTGGTTTCTGCAACGTCGGTAATCGTAAAAGGACTTCTTTGATGTTGTCAAAAGCATCCTGGCATTCCGTGGTCCATTCGAACGGTTTCTTCTTTTTGATAGCGTCAAAGAATGGCTTGCAATGATCCATAGACTTTGAAATGAACCGATTAAGGGCTGCCAGTCGACCAGTTAAAGCTTGGACACCTTTGAGAGATGTCGGGGGAGCTAGGTCAAGTATGGCTCGAATCTTGATGGGGTTGGCTTCGATCCCTCTCTGACTTACCATGTATCCTAGAAACTTCCCTGATCCAACTCCGAAAGTACACTTCTTGGGGTTAAGCACCATGGAATACTCTCGGAGTATATCGAAGACTTCAGAGAGATGGGCGATGTGGTCAGAGGCCTGTTCCGACTTCACTAACATGTCGTCTACATAAACTTCCATTGTATGGCCGATTAAGCGAGCAAACATCTTATTGACCAATCTCTGATACGTGGCCCCTGCATTCTTCAACCCGAAAGTCATCATGACATAGCAGTAAAGGCCTCGAGCTGAATAGAACGAGGTATGTTCAGCGTCATCAGGGTGCATGGGAATCTGATTATAGCCTGAATAGGCATCCAGAAAACTCATAAGTTGGTGTCCCGACGTAGCGTCTACCATGTAATCAATGTGCGGAATGGGATAGCTATCTTTCGGGCACGCTTGATTCAAGTCTGAAAAATCTATACAGAGGCGCCAAAGGCCGGTGGCTTTCTTGACCAAAACAGGATTTGATATCCACGTCGGGTACTTGGCTTTTTTGACAAATTTATTTTCTATGAGCTTGTTTACTTCCTCTTCAAGGGCTTTCTGGCGATCTGGGCCGAATTTCCGGCGTTTCTGAATAACAGGTTTGACAGTTTTGTCCAAATTGAGACGATGGCATGCTTTCTGTGGGTCAATCCCTTTCATGTCTTCATGCTTCCAAGCGAACACATCAGCGTTTGACTGGAGAAACTGAATCAAATTTGACCGAATGGGTTCTTGCAGGTTGGCCCCAATACGCAGCGATTTCTGCTGAGCCGACCCGTCCACGTAAATGATTTCGATATCTTCAACGGGTTCCGCTCGGACGTGATGACTTCCATCTTTGAACTGCATCCTTGGGTCCATATCTTCGTGTATTTCTATGTCTCTTTCATGAAAAGGTTGTTCTTGATCGAGGATTTTAGTTGATGTTTCAGGCAAGACCGACGTTATAGGGACGTCGGTATCGACAAGCGGCAAGTCGGTATCTGCTTGAGGCATGTCGGTATGCGGGATGAACTGATCAGTTCTTTCAGCATCAAGAATTGAATCATTCGGCTCAATGAAGTTATTAGCGTCCCGTTCTTCAATCATATGAAAATTAGGCGAGGTTGAGAGTAACATCAGACTTTGGGCTTCTCGTTGATCTCCGTAATGAGTACCTTCCCCTTCAATGGTGGGGAACTTCAAAGCATAATGAAAAATCGACACGGCAGCACGAAGTTTATAAAGCGCGGTTCGTCCTATTACAGCATTATATTCGTTCAGGACATCCAGGACCTTGAAAGTTTCCATAATGATCTTGGACTTCGGCCCAAAGCCACCAAACCGAATAGGGAGCAATATTTCGCCAACAGGGCATAAAATGCTTCCATTGAAACCTTGAATTTGATCGTTACACGGCCTAATGTCTTCTGGGTCCAAACCCAATTTCTTGAAGGTGCGGAGCATTAAAATGCTTGAGTAAGCTCCTGTGTCGACCAAGATCCGATGAACAGGGATCCCTCCAATCGGGGCGGTTATGATAAGAGCATCGGAATGAGGATGAGCGAATAAATTAGCGTCTTCAATACTGAACGTGATAGGACAATTCCGTTTGTTGATAGTATCTCGAAGATCAACATTCATGACTCGTTTCTCGGCATTCTGTGCCTCCCGGGCATAGGCTTTGATTTTCCATCGAGACGTATCTAATTATTTGTTATTGGAGTTGACTCGAGGTATACAATGTGAAGAATCTGCGAGATCCGCATCTTAGGTTTCCTGTGGTTATCTGTCGAGGTTCCGACATGAGTAGAAAACGTAAAAACTTCTTTATCGTTTGCACGAGCTCTCTTCTGGTTAGCAGGTCGGTTATCCTCATCTTCATCGTCTGAAAGATCCAAGGGTCTTCCTTTCCGGTGGTTATCAAAATTTCGAAAATTTTGAAGTTGGGGTTGTCCGATTAACCTTAAGAGTGCCGACAAAAGACCGAGACACTCATCGGTATTGTGTCCTGGAGACTTATGGTACGCACAGTAGCGAGTTTTGTCCAACTTGTCTTCAGGAGTTCTCACAGGCCTCGGGTCTGGTATAATTCCCTTTCCTTTCAGTTCTTCATATATGGTGGCTGCTCCGGCGGAATAAACGGCATGGTAACCTGTCCTGACGTTGTCTGAATACTGATCACGAGCAGCCCGAGACTCTGGAGTATTTTCATATCCTTTAGAGGAGTTCCGAAATTGTGCTTTCCCAAAATTCTTCTTGTTCTTCTTCTTAGCATCTGGTTCAGCCTTACTTTCCTTCACAGAGAAGTCAAAACTGGGAACCGACATGGATTCTTCGGCAATAATGAATTGTTGAGCTCGTACAAGAAACTCTTGAAATGTAGCAGGCTTATTTTGACACAAGGTCCAACGAAACATTGAGTTGGGCTTCAGTCCAGCAATAGCAGTTACTAACAAAGTTTCAGGGTGACAGGGCTCCATATTCTGAATTCGGTCGTTAAACCGAGCCACATAGTTTTTAACAGTCTCGTAGTCCTTTTGCACAATGTTAGTGATCGATTCTTTCAGAATGAGACAAATTTGGGCACCGATAAAGTGTGATCGGAAGGCTGCACGTAACTGTTGTCATTTCCAAATCGAATGAGGTGGAAGAGTATAATACCATTTCTGGGCTCGTGGCCCCAGTGTAAGTGAGAACATCCGACACCTCAAAGCATCTGAAGCCCCATGTAAATCCATCCAAGACGTATAATGGCCTAAATGTGCGTCTGGATCTGATGTCTCGTCATACGTGCCGATTTGCGGGATCTTCACTTTCACAGGGAGTGCCTCCGCAGTAAGTTCGGGGGCTAAAGGGGAATCCGCCTCAATAATAACATTTCCCGACGTCGTGACATGTCGGGGTGAGTCTTCTTGTGACTTCTGTCGTGTCTCAAGTTCAGCCAAACGTTTACGAAGGGTTTCAATTTCCTCTGCACTGTGTCTTGACAGTCGATTCCGTTCAATTTGGCGCCGCAAATCTTCGCGAGCATGAGGTGCTGACGAGATGGGTCTAGGACGTGGCGAAACTCTCTGGTGATGCGCAGAATGACTTTCAGCAGTCATCTCCTGCACAGGAGGTTGATCTGGGACTTGATTGTTCGTTACGGGATTAACAATTACATGAGCCTACTCTTCTTGACGTGGAGAAGTATGATGAGGATGCGACGTGGCATGTGATGTCGCTACATGTGTTTCATGGTCATGATGAGTATGGGTTGGATGTTCCGTTGGGTTAGTAGTTAACGGCATCGACAATGGTATCGTACTCGAGTTTCTGGGCATGGCTCGAGCTATTAATGAAGTCAAGCCTTGGATAAACTCCAGATTTTGAAGAAAATTCGTGGCATTCATGACCGGAGGGGGTGGTGTTGCGCGCCGTGGAGAATGGTTAGTTGATTGGCTCTGGCCAGGATGAGTCACGTGGTCTCGACCAGACTGCGACATGATGATTTTGAGCGTGAAAATGACTGAAAGGTGAAAGTTAACTTCAAAATATGATGACGCCCTTCCTCTAGCGCCAAACTGTTGTCAAATGAAAATTAACAACGATCTTATTGATGGGGGTTTGTAATAAGCTCAAGGTAAATCAGCAGAATATGCGAATATTGTGAAGCAGATGGAATTTCTCTATGTATGTTATTATTGTATGTCTCTCCCTCTGGAGAATTGTTTTTTCTCCTTTTATATTTATGTACAAAATTTATCCGTACAGTAATCATTACATCTTGAAAGGTCAAAGGCGGCTCTTAGCTACTTATCTTGATAGCTCGCCACTTGGACAAACGTAATGATGACTTATGCTGAGTTGTCGCCGCCTTACAGTGCTGAGGTGGCATGTCATAGATATCGGTTTATCCAGTTATAACCGATATGTTGTATCCGACATGTAGCGACCGACATGTGTTGACCGACGTGAGATATCGGTTAAGTAATGGAGATGTCGGTTCTTGTTGAATCTCTCATCGTGCAGTCGTCTTGAAGTCGGTGGAAGTGTCACGTGCTTGCATGAATCTTAATTATCCTCATACTGACCTTAATCGGCTGATCAATATCACTTAATTGGGTTTACTGAAAATGATATCAACAGCTGTGATAAAGATCGCGTGTCCCGACTGTCGATAAGCCGCTAGCCCGCGCCTGGAATCGCCGATAGGTGTTCTTCGAGCCACGCCCGCGCCTCTTGGAATGAATAAAATTGCAATAGAATTTTGGTGAAAAACTAAAGCAAAGTGTTTGAACAAAAGTTCTGGATTTTCTACTAACTAAGACTATTCAAAGATTCAATTCATTCATCTATATAAAAAATAACAAGAGTATATGGGTATTCATAGGAGAAACTAGATATAGTCCCATGAGAGATATAATTCTAACTAGGAAATAATATCTAATTCTAAGGTAACTAAATGTCTTGCATACCAAGACTTAACAAAATATAAAATACCTAACAAGCTAATAAGATCTCCTAACAATCTAATTACTCACGTGGATAATGACGTGAATAAACTAATCCTAACACTAACTATATAATAACAATTACTAATTAATTAACTAACCTATCTAATACGACTAACTACTAACCTGCTAACATATAATATAATCCTAACAACCTAATAATAACTTACGCACTAACTAAATAAACTAACTAAATACTAACACTAACAATCAATTAATAATACTAACTAATCTAATATTTAACTAAATAGTAATTAATCTAATTAATAAATATCTTCTAGAATCTTCGCTACTCGGCTCGCACGGCTCACCTCGTGCCTTCGCGCATCACATCCACGTACGCCACCTCGTGCTCGGTCACGCGCCACCTTAGTCCCGTTTCCAACTCCCCGGCTTGATAGGCCCAATCTCATAAGGTCTAGGCCCATTCGCCTTTCGGCCCGTCGCTTGCATCCATGTGCTTGAGTGCCTTTTCGTCTACCTGCAGGGTTTCTAGGTCTCGGCCATGCACGTCTTGATCTCGTGCGATAAGCCCGAGACCATGCGTGTATCCACGGCTCACGTTGCCTTCCTCGTAAACCTCGCATACGGGCTCATACCCGTCTTTTAGGCCATGCATGCGTGGTTTTGGCCCTTTTCTCGGCCTTTTCGGATTGCCTCGGCCATCGGCTCTCGGTGTGCTCGGGCCTCAAAAGCCACTTCCGCATCATTCCTCCCCCCTTCGAATGAGTCCTTGTCCTCAAGGACTCGCCAATGACCATTACTTGGGGCGTCGCCACATCTGTATTGTCCTCCCCGTGCGTCTCGTCATCATGGCCCTCTTCGACCACGACCAAAATCTCCTCCTCGACCTCGGCTTTACTCTTGGCATCGATAATTGGTTGGGACA